TCACAGGGACCAGGGGCTGGAGGTGAGCGACTGGGAGGGAGGGAAGGAGGGAGGGAGAGTGGGAGCCCTCTGCACTTTCACTGCAGTAGGCAAACAAAAGCCTGTGTATTTTGCTCCCATCATTCCCTTTCCAACCAATCTTTTCGGTTACTAATTAATGTTGACTCAGCTCTTTCAGCAGGCTTCTGATAACTTCAGGATGTTTATTTAATCAGGGGCAAGGAGCAAACGCACACGAGGCTACTCGTGTGCTCAAGAGATACTGCCTCCACTGCCATGGCACCGCTGTTCCGGGAGCTCCATGGGGTCTGTCCCAGCCCCGGGGCAGGAGCAGTGCAGCTTTGGGCTTTAATCGGTGATGGAAGATTTGAGGAGAGAGGAAAGCTTCTCCAGGGGCCTCGCCTCTGCCAACTCAGACATAGGCACTTCCCAGCATCGGCTGCTCCCACCCTTGCTGGAAAGAGCTTTGATTTGGTGTTGAGGAAGGCATTTCCACCTGGAAAGCCCTGGTGAGCCGAGGGCAGCCACCAGACGTGGGCTGTTGGGGCAGGACTTCCCCTACAGCCCGGTCACCCCCTCCTTGCCCGCTGGCCTCAGCTACGGCGGAGCTGGTGCTGTCCTCGGGTGCAAGCACCAGCCCAGCGTTGCGCTAAAGCTTCATCTCATCCCCATTGAATCGATCCTGGGGGACAAGCGCCCTGAGAGGGCTCAGGCTCACGGGGAAGAAGGGCTGGGCAGTTTCTGAGCTGCTTTTGCTGATCGGCTGAGACAAAGCTCCCTCCTGCTGCTCCAGGCTCCCGACCACCAATACAGACCTGCAAAGGCTCAGCGAGCCCTTCCCTGGCCACCATGCTCAAAGCAGGACAGGAGGAGACCATGGAAGAGGGCTGGTTTGGGTAACGAGGCCCTGGGGAGCCCTTGCAGCTGAGTGCTGAGCAGAGCTGGCGAGGAGAGCTCAGGTGATGGGGCCAAGCTCCCAGGGCAAGGCTGGGAATCCCTGCCATTCCCAGAGCCCAGGCTGCTGGTGCTGGAAATCTCTCTCAAAAACTAGAGCAAAGCAAAAACTAAAGCGAAGTAGAAACTAAAGCAAAGCAAAACTAAAGCAAAGCTCAGCTCTCGGAGCTTGTCAGGGCAAACTACGGGAATGGTTTGAACTCTGTCTGCCACAAGCAGCAGCCTCCTCTGAGGCAGCAAACCCCTCTGCTGTGCTGCATCACAACAGGTCTTATAATTATCCCTAGTTAATAATAATTTACCAGAAAGATCCTTACTGTTTCTGTGCTGAGCCTCTCCTGCAGTACTGTGCCAGTCGGGTCGCCTTGTTTACTGTCCTTCGCTGTGATGTCCCGTCGCTATAATGTCCCTCTCCTCTGTCTGTCCCTGGGTAGTGGATTCAGAGAGGATTAGAAGCGACTCTGTGGCATCAAAACATCAACTTGAATTTAAGTCTCAGTCTGAGCTGGCAACAACCTGGTTTCGGAGCCAAGGATTGAAGCTGCTCCTCCCAACACAGGCGAGAAGCGTCCAAAGCATTTCTGCCCTGAGCACGTCTGGCCTGGAAAAAAGAAAACAAAAGGGGCCCGGGCTGCCTCTGCTCTTTCTTTTATCATGCAAATCCCGAGCCCACTCGG